CTCGGGCACCGCGCGCGGGCACCGCGCGCAGGCTCCGCGGAGCGTGGCCACTACCCTGCGCCTTCCGCCGAGCCAGCCTGGGCTTGCCCGCGGGGCCTCGAAAGCGGCTTCCCGGCACCGCTGCGGCCTTGGGCTCCTGAGCGGGGGCGGCGGGGTCTGCGTCACCGGCCCCCTCGACTCGGGGGGCGCTGGCAAGCGCCTGGCGGCGCGGAGAGTCGCGGCTCCAGGAACCGGCCCTCATGTGACTGTCGGGGACTCACGTGTGGCTCCCCGGCTGACGCCTCGGGCTTTTCCTCATGCCCAGCTTTTCCGGGTTACAGTGACCCAGTGCGTGGCCAAATACTCGTAAAAGGGTACTGAGTGCGAGGCCTTCCTTGGTCAGGTTTCTGAGTCCCTCACCCATAAAATGGAACAATAATAGTACCTGCCTCTAAGGGTGGTTCTAAGGATTAAGTCGTCATTTATTTGTCAGCAGTATAGAATTTTTGCATCCTGATAGTAAATAAAAGCAAAGAAAAACTAAGAGTATTTTTGTTTCGATAAATTAATAATGTCACTTCTAAAAAGAATTAGAATCACCATATGTAAGTATTCTATATACTTCTCCAAAATTTTAATCTGCTATGCCTGTCTTTTTGGCTGTAATGACCCAGCTTAGGCCTGAGAGCTTTTCTTTAAATTGAGATACAATATACGTGTAATGAAATGCATTCATTTTGTGTGGTGTTCGATGAGTTTTGATAAATACATATACCTGGGTAACCATAATCAAGACACAGAATATTTCCATTACTCCAAAACGTTCCCTGTGCCCTTTCCCAATCCCCCACCTCCATCTCCAACCCTAGCCTGCCTCTTGAGTGTTTACAAAAATCAAGTGCACTGTTCCAGTTTCAGCCTCTGAGGATGTAGTCAAAGAAAGTTCGGTAGTGAGGGACATTTTTAATAATAAGCAGCTCTATCAAACTCATCACTGATTCAGCTTAAGATGTCTGTTGAAGATATTGTTCATATCACGTAGTGCTCTTTCTGTAAGAATCCATGGGAAAAGTGTTTCTTTGGCTTGAATATGAAGAATAACTGGGGTTGTTCTCAGCCCTTAGTTTGCTTTCACTTCATAGTGCCTGGGAACCTTGCTTTCATGAGCATAGACTCCCCACTCCTTCACTACCTACTTTCAAACCCCAGCAACAGCGCTTTGGGAAAGTCACTTGTCTTGCTAAGTTTCACTTTCTACTTTTGTAAAATAGGGAAATAATCGTACCTACCTCATAGCGTTGTTCTGAGGGTTGCCCAGAATAATTAATGTAAAAATTTTAGCACTCTGCTTATCGATGGAGTAATCATGCAATAAAAAATTACTCCCAGATCAGATATCTCTCTGTATCCCCAGTGCTTAGCTTGAACACATACATAGCCATTCCCCCTTCTTTTCATGATAGTTAACACCTACTGACATCCTTTCTCCTTGGTCAAAAACTAGACAATGTTTCTGGGACATCAAGGACATGGTCATGCAAACCAAAAAAAACAATTTGTCAGCATGCTTCCAGATCCAAATAACTGCAAATAACCATCACTCCACATCCCCATACCCCCACACCCAGATACTCACCAGGCTTAAATAACAAGGACACTTATTATCTTATATAACAAAACGTCTAGACATGTCCAGACTATCTTATAAAACAAAATATCTTATATAACAGAAGTCCCCAGGGTTAATTCAGCAACTCAACACTATCATCAAGGACCCAGTTCTTCCCATCTTTCTCTTCTGCTCTCGTCAGTGTGTTAGTTTTATCCACAGGCTGACTTCTTTAACAGGTACAAAATCCAGATACAATTACAGACAATATCCAGTGGGAAAAGAGAGTCTCTCTTCTTTCAAGGATGAAGAAACTGTTTCCAAAGCCTTCTCCCCACCCCCGTGGCTGAACCCCAGAAGACAACCCATGACTGGCAGGCAAATTAGATTACAACTCTCCCTTTGATCAAGGATAGAACATCTGCCCTGAGAAGTGGATACTTATACAAAAATCAAGGTTTTGTTTGCAAAGGAAAGAGTGAATGTTGTTCTGCCAAGAAGAACAAATATTTATTTGTCATTTTACTAGGTGCTAGTAAACCGGAGACTAGTTCCCTGTCTCCGGTTTTATTGAGGAGGACACATCGCAGGTATCTTCATTATTCACCAATACAGTGTTATTTGCCGTATTGAGGCTCTTGCTGAGAAACAAATTTGTAGGACTCAGACCTGATTTCTGAGATGTTTCCAGCACCTCATCTGTAAGGTGGAAATGATACTTCTCTTATAGAATTGTTATGACGTCCAGGAATAATCTTCATATATGCTACAGACATTCAACTCCTACTGTCTACCAGGTATATGCTGGGCCTTGACACAGGCCTTGCCCTCATAGAGTGGATCCTGCAGAGTGATCTCATTTTAGGCTGCTGACTTGTGATATTGTCACCACTAGGTGCCTCGAGAAACTCAAGGGTGGGTTCAGAAGCAATTAACTGTTTTTCCAAGTTGTTCCTTTTCCTTTTGTATGTTAAGGAGATGTTACCACAAGCCATCCTGAAACTGACCAAGCAGGAAGCTCAAGGGAGGTATAACCACCAGCCATCCTGAAACTGACCAAGCCTCACCACAAAAGCTGTACCCATGATCTTTGTCTTATTTTTAATGCAAAGATCTCTCCAGGAGGAGGTTGGGCCTCATTATTTGGAAGCATGTTCTCCAACTGAGCCTGTACAAGTGAATACCTGCCTCTCCCTTTTGAGTGTTCATTCCCAACCAAATAAAAGTGCCTGCTTCCCTTTGTTCGGGGACACTATGACTTTGGAAATGATTCCTCATGGCCTCCTATTTGCTGCAATACACTTTACTTAGTGAGACAACTTCCATTGGTGTAGCATCTTATTTAACTCACCAGGAGGCGAGCCCACTTGGTTAAGTAACAATATTTTTTAAATAAAATGTTTACATATTTTTTTGATAGTAAAAGTAGCACATGCTTCCAGTCCAAATGTTGGGAAAGCTTCTAGGAATCTCTCCTAAAGAAATGTCCACATGTGTTCACAAAGATAAATGTTCCTGGATGTTATTTGCAGAATTGTTTCTGATAGTAGAAAATTGGAAGTAACCTCAATATCTGTTTACAGGGGAGCATGAGTTTCCTTCTCCTAAATTATGGTACAGTTATGGAACTGTTCCAAACTGTGAGGTAGACCTTTAAATCAGTAGACTTTGGGTAAATAATCCAGTTTGCATGGAAAGAGCTTGGAGACATTTTGTTAAGTAAAAAAATCAAATTTTAGAATGTGGAATATATATGGTCTTATTTATGTAAAAAAAAAAAGAGTTCTGTGCTTGTGTGTGTGTGAAATGACTACAGGATACACATCAAATTGTTAACAATGATTATGATTACCTATCAGGGGATAATGGGAGAGTTTGCTGGAAGAAGGGAGAGAAATAAGAAGAAACTTTTAATCTTTCACAACAACTATTTTTATATATTATGCGTATAAAGAAATTTTAGAAAACATGGAAACCACCCACATTCCACCACTCAGATTACAGTCTTTATTTTATGCACATTTTTTGGAAAAAAACTGGATTATTTGTATATACAATTTTACATCCTTTTTTTTTTTAACCACTAAGCTTTACATTGTAAACATTTCTATCGTTTGTAATAGTATTATTACTATAATTGATTCCAAGTGTTCAGATAAGGTAATGCCTCTGGAATAAACTCCCTCCTTCATACAAAGAAATGTGAGGCCTGGTGCTCAGTTGCTCTCTGACCACACCATGGCCAAGGTTGTTGTAACACAAGGAAAACATAAGCACAAATAATTGAAAAACAGGAGATTAAACAAATCTTTGCCACTTCGTGAGCCCGAATGTGTGATACCCTGCCTAGTTAAATCATGAGAGCTAAAAAAAAAAAAAAGAGAGAGAGAAAGCTAACAGGAAATGGTTAATAGGCAGGGCCCCTTGAAGTCTCTAGCAGACTCAAAATAACAAAAAGATTCAAAGGAAAACATACCACAGGATAGGACCTCAATGTACATTTGCGAAAATAAAGTGGAAAAAAATGAAGTAGAGATTTTTTAGAAGAAAATAGAAGAAAGCTAGGAGAGGAGAAATAGAAAGCCCAGTGCAGCTGTTCACATATCCTGTATCATCAATTCATCTCAGAAGACTTAGCACCTGCGATGGTTAATTTTATGTGTCAACTTGGCTAGGCAAGAGTACCCAGATAGTTGGTCAAACATTTTTCTAGATGTTTCTGGGAAGGTGCTTTTTAGTTGAGATTAACATTGAAATCAGTAGACATTGAGGAAAGCCAATTATCTTGCATAATATTAAGAGGACCTTACCCATTCAGTTGGAGGCTTTGATAGAAAAAAGACGGACCTCCCCCCGGGAAGAATGAATTCTGCCAGCAGACTGCTTTCAGATGGGAGCTGTAACATTAACTCTTGCCTGGGGCTGCAGCCTGCTGGTCCACCCTGCAGATTTTGCCAACCTGCACAACCGTGTGAGCCAATTCCTTAGGGTAAATATCTCTCTCTCCAAATATACATTGTTTCTCTTTCTCTGGAGACCCCTGGCTAATATAGCATACAAAATATGCTAGGCACCTTGCTAGGTGCTTCTTACAGTTACAGAGGGAAGGCAAAAATCTCAGTAATAGAGGAGACTTCGGAGGGTCTAATGACATTAGGCCTTGAGGACTGTGACAGGGAGAAGGTTCAAGGGACAAGGTTGGCAAATATGAGAGAGACATTATCGGCTTAGAGTGTTCAGAGAAGGCATCCAGAGAAAATTACATCTGGGCTGATTCTTGAAGAATAATTAGGAAGACAAAATTGCCAGAAGCCCAGACATAACCCAAACGGCTGGCATGCAGGAGAAGCCAAGATTTTTAAAAAGTAAAAGCAAAGATGCAAGTTGAGGTTGGTATTTCCTCCCTGAATGATGCACAGTGGCTCAGCCCATCTCAGTGTTAAGGCATGAGTTATTGTCCAGTTGACCCTGCTCAGTTATGAGAGTGGTCACAGTCTTAAGCTTTCTCCTTTCCTCCCTGAGTCATTCCAAACACATCATCCGAAACACTGAGTACCAGATTTGCATGATGGAAATCAGCGATCCTCCTGGAGGATTTAAAGATGAGTAAAAAGGACTAGAAACTCAGCTCACTGAGGAAAACAGGCTCTCTG